TCAAAATAATACAAACCCCGACAAGATCTAGTTTTAGTCTTTTTGATTTAGTTGTAGAGAAGAGATCAATGAAAAGTGTAACAGAAACAAGACAACACTTCCTGCACTAGGGAAAACATTCGACACCGAGATCTCCGAATACATTTCTATGGACTTCACGTTAAAGACAAACATTTACTGGGCTGATGGAGACAAACGCCCACAGCTGTGTGAATTGGCTCAGATTCCAAATCTCTGCTCGCCGTACTTGTGTAGAATCGAGTTCCAGAGACATAATCCTCCCGATTATACCGCCACAACTTCGATACGGATAACAAAGGAGATCATCAGATGATACATTTATGGCCGAATAATCACCAAACAACTGTTTCACCGCCGATTTATCGATTAGTCAAGGAATGTCCTACAAATGATATCTATGATTTGATTATTGAAACGTGTGAAAATATTCTTTATGAAAGACTTGTTACATTGCACCTATCAGGCTCTGTTTACGATCATGGTCACATTGACCGATGTGTGTTTTCCTCTCTTTAGCCATGTAGCAGTCACTGCCCCCCCCCCCCCCATATCACATTCAGAATATTGATAATACAAAATGACTGGTAGAAATCAAGAAGTGAATCATTGACACCGCCAGATAAATCTGTATAAACAAAAAATATCCAGGAAAAAGAGGAGGGGGGGGGGATGTTTAGTTAAACAGGAAGATAAGATGCAGTAAAAGAGAATAAAGAAAGGGTGGGGGTTTTAAAAGGGAGAGTTTAATAAAGAATAGAGAGCACAGAGCATAGCAGGATCTCGGATGACTTATGTTCGTTAAGTCAGTGTTTCTCAACTCCAGTCCTCATGGACCCCCCAAACGAGTCATGTTTTCAGGATTTTTTCCCATCAGATGAAACAGCTGTTGTGTAATTATACTAAGGCAGTGAAACTGATCAATTCACCTGTGCAAAATAATGGAAAATCCTGAAAACATGACTCTTGGGGTCCATGAGGAACTGGAGTTGAGAAAACACTGGGTTAAGTTAAATTTGTGAAAGACATTTAGTTCCCTCAGTAGCATTTGAAAGAGAATCAATCCTAGTGTTACCCTATCACTAGAAGCCTGCCTGGTGTGAAGGGGGACCAGGTAGTGGAAGCATATATATCCCTCTATGGGGACGAGGCGTCTGAACAGATACTAGGGAGCTCTGACTCAGATGTAGTGTAGTCAGGTTTGTATTAAATCATCTGAGCTGAAGGGAAACATTGTCAACCTGTCCAGTAGGCTGGGCGGGCAGGATATAGGATACAATTTAGTGATGTCATTGATCCATTTACAGGTGAAAAAGTTTGAGAGGTAGAGACTTGAAGATCCAGATGTTCTATGTAAAGTAGGCTGTTGAGGCCTTGTTTCAATTGCTAGACGTCCACTTTTTAGGATGGCTCTCCTGGCTGACATTAAACAGGAGGCTAGCCAAGGTTTGCGTTTATTGACGAGCATTTGATGGCTAAGACCAATACTTTTGGCAATATAGTGTATATGCAGGAGCATATCTACCGAGAGGCAAACAAGGGTTTGCCTAGGGTGGCAATTTTTAGGGGGGCGGCACCGCCCCCTCAGATGAAGGGTCTTTTGAGCAGCGGCAGGCAGGGCCGCCAGGAGAGGGGTTGCACAGGTACCCTTGCAGTGGCCCGGACAGCAGGAGAATGGATGCGGGGAGGACAGTTGCAGAGCTATGCCCCTGGATCTTATGGGGCTGCCCCCCCCATTCTGCTGGCCCCTGAGATCAGCAGCATTTGGAGAAGGTGTTTGTGCGTGCAGTCCCATATGATGTGGGAAGGGAGAGAGAATCATATATACACACACTTATCTCCTCTCTCATGGGGGGCGCTAAATTATTGTGTTGCCTAGGGCAGCACAAAATCGAAACACACCACTGTGTATATGTATGTATCTTTATTTTTTTTCTCTCTCTTTTTCATTACAGCAGTCTGTGAATTTCAGGTGCATCAGATTAATACACAGAATGGAAAGTAGAAGTTATAAATTGTAATACGGATATCAGAAATGAGGGGGAATATTGGATGCATTGGGACGATTTACTTCCCTCCCCCTTTACTTTTATGTCATCCAATTTACTGAATTATGGACAGAAATAGTCCTCTCTCGGAGATCGCAATTCTTACATTGATAAGACGTTTGAATATATAATTATAAACATATTTCTTATCAATGTTTTCCCATCTGGCAGTAAGGAGCTCCCAGAGAGATCGGGATATTCTACTAACAGAGATAACGTGCAGATCTTGGCGGGAATTAAAAAAAAAAAACATTCTGAAAATATATGACACATAAATAAAATAATGTTTGTTACAAATAAACTCGTAAATGTGAAATGAATGGGATGAATTGCTGCAGACTAGATGTCCGCCTCCTCACATCCTCAGCGATAGATTGTCATTGTGCCATCAAAGTCCACACTGTCCTCGCCGGGATCGGATTGTCCTTGGAAGTGGGATTCGGAGAGAAAAGGCAGAAATCACATTGTATCTCCTCCCAGATCCGCACACAAGTCATGTCTCTTGTCATCTCGCTCTTCTATAGACGATACATTGCAGCCCTTCTGACTGTCCCTGTTAGTCCACAATTGTGCTGGATGGACGAGATGGGCGACAAACGTTCTGCTTCTTAGTCCCGAACAGAGGAATCATCGGATCCGTGAGATCGGAGGAGGATCTTCTGTCATCCCATTCACTGTATTATGGAGGAATCCAGTCCGATGTCAATGGATGTAATTGTTACATTGTACAGGGGAGTCTTGATCTCTGATTATTAGCAGATCTCTGATTAATCTTCTCTTCTTTGGTAGTAAGGAGAGCTCCGAGCATTGTATGATGTGGAGGAACTCCCCTCCCCCACCCCTGACACAGCGGGCTTCTCTACCTACACAGATAACGTGCAGATCCTGGCGGGCATTTTGAAAATCCCGCTCTTTTTAAGTAACCCAATCATTAAAAGGGGCGTGGCGTAGTTATCCAATCAGAGGGACTGGGATGTGTATAAATAACTGCAGAGCGGAGGGATTACATTCGCAGTTCCCGGCAAGAGAGGAGTAGAGATGGCTCGTACCAAGCAGACCGCCCGTAAGTCCACCGGAGGGAAAGCTCCCCGCAAGCAGCTGGCCACCAAAGCCGCCCGCAAGAGCGCCCCGGCCACCGGCGGAGTGAAGAAGCCTCACCGCTACAGGCCCGGTACCGTGGCTCTCCGAGAGATCCGCCGCTACCAGAAATCCACCGAGTGCTCATCCGCAAGCTGCCCCGCAAGCCCCTTCCAGCGCCTCGTCCGAGAGATCGCCCCAGGACTTCAAGACCGACCTGCGCTTCCAGAGCTCCGCCGTCATGGCTCTGCAGGAGGCCGCAGAGGCTTATCTCGTCGGGACTCTTCGAGGACACCAACCTCTGCGCCATCCACGCCAAGAGGGTCACCATCATGCCCAAAGACATCCAGTGGCACGCCGCATCCGCGGAGAGAGAGGGCCTAGACCCCCCGCAACAGACATTCCACACAACCCGCCAACCAACGGCTCTTCTCAGAGCCCCACCTCCCCCACACAGAGCTCTGTACCGGGGACTTCTCCGCCTTTCCTCCTCATGGCGCCTTTTACATTTCAGCGCAATCTGGAGGCGCCATTACAACATGTAAAGAACCAAACCGGTTTACACAACGCAGCGCCGTCTGTACATGGGGGGCGCCCCGATGGGGGAGGGGACTTGGTGGCAAATAGTTTCTGTTCTCCCTCAGTTACAGAAATACAGACTGCGCTAGTAACATATATAGATCGATAAAGTGTCAGTGACGTGTCGCTCAGCTACCGGGTTTCTGTCTCGGCTAATGTGACCTCACTGCTGACGGGGGCAGGCAAGGATGCTGTGCAGGGGCCCCCATGTCCTTATCAATGACGTCATGGGTGGTTCTGTTACCAGCAGCTAGTAGGTTGGGGTAAATGTTGCTGTCTCATCTCCACCTTAAGCTGTCTCCCTGCAATACATTGACTTTCTGCAAATCTCAGGATAATTAGTCTCTGTGGTGATTGATTCTCACCTCCTTGTGCCTTTCAGTGATCAGAAAATCCATCATCGTTTTATGACTTTGGCCTGTCTGGGCTGGTTTAGATAAGCCCCTCCCAAAAAAGTAATGTAATCCTTATTTCCTAATTGTGGCGGAGAAGAGTTGCACATTTGATCATCTCCCTATAAATCAGTGTTTCTCAACTCCAGTCTCATGGACCCCCAACAGGTCATGTTTTCAGGATTTCCCTCAGATGAAACAGCTGTGGTAATTACTAAGGCAGTGAAACTGATCAAATCACCTGTGCAAAATAATGGAAAACATGACCTGTTGGGGGTCCATGAGGACTGGAGTTGAGAAACACTGCTATAAATGTAGACCAGTTTATGGGGGAAGTCACAGATGGCCCTCTGTCCTGTGAGGGCATTTTCTCTGGAGTGTGAAGTAGTTGAACACAGCAGGATAACTCAAGCATCAGGAAGAACTCTACTGCACGCTGGATGGGCTGCAGGCAAACACCCTGAGAAACGTCTACAAGTCTGATTCCCACTCCATGTACCTGTTTAATATGACATCTCTACTCATATTACTATCCTTTCCTCTCAAAATCTCCTTTCTTTATCCCTCTTCTCCACCTCAACTTTTACATCTCACCCTCACTGCTACCATCTCCCTACTACTGCTCTCATCACCTCCTGCTGACACAAACACCAGGACTGGAAGGCATGTGCACTCATATACATCCCGCTCCCATGTTCTTTCCTCACCCGGCTTCTCCTAACCTCTGGGGGATATTTATTTCAGGTACTTCTATAGTGCCGTTAATTTACGTAGCACTTTTACATATATATTGTACATTCACATCAGTCCCTAACCCTCAAGGGGCGTACAATCTAGGGTCCTAACTCACATTCATACATATACATACTAGGGCCAATTTAGACAGGATCCAATTAACCTACAAGCATGTCTTTGAATGTGGGAGGAAACCCGCACAGGGAGAACATGCAAACTCCAGGCAGGTGGTGCTGTGACTGGGATTCGAACCAACGACCCTAGTGCTGCCAGGCAGAAGTGCTAACATTTAGCCACTGTGCTGCCCCATATGACATTTTTCTTCACTTCACTCTACACATTATGTTCCCCATTGGAAACTTTCATCAATCTACAAATCCAAAATTACATGCAGTCCATCCTGAATATCTCCCCAAACCTGATCCTCCAGTATCTCACCCCAACACCAGGCACCCTCCTTCGTCCAGGAATAACCGCAATCCACTCAATTTAATCTCAATCTCCATTCTCCTAAAAACCACCCTCCTATTTCCATGTGCGCTCTGGAATGCCAGCTCTGTCTGTAATAAGCTCACCTCTGTCCTTTGACCTTTGTGTCTCCCACTCCCTTAACCTACTAGCAATTACAGAAACCTGGCTCCAAGCAGCAGATTCTGCTTCTCCAGCAGCACTTTCCTATGGAGGCCTTCTCTGAGCTCACTCACCCGGACCCAGTGGTAGGAAAGGTGGTGGAGTTGGTTTGCTTCTATCCCCACTGAGCACCTTTCAAGTCCTCTCTAACCCTTCCTGCATCTGGCTGTTTTCTCCCATTTCTCTGAGGATTGCAGTGATCTATAGGCCTCCTGGACCCGTGTCCCAATTTTTGATGACTTCTCTGCCTGTCTACCCTACTTTCTCCCCTCTGAAATACCCACTATCAATCTTGGAGATTTTAACATCCCCATTAATGTGAACAAACCCGACTACATCCCAACTCTTCAACCTAACCTCATCTTTTACCTTAACACAATGGACACGGTCCTCCACTGACTCTCATGGGAATACATTAGACCATGATTCTCCCATCTTTGTACTCCCTACAACCTCACAAACAACCCCTTTCCGCTCTCTGATCACAATCTCAACACCTATCCCTCTGAACAGCAAACAATTACCCTCAGAAACTTTCAACTTAAACCCTTCTCTTTTCCACTTTGCAACTGACCGCCTCTATGACAGAATCTCTCTCCTGCCCTGCCCTGACCACTGCTGTCTACAACAGTTCACTTTCATCCACACAAGACTCACTTGTTCCTCTAACAACATCAGGCCCCAACCATTACAACCGTGGCAGACTGATGATGCCAGAAATCTTAAGCAATATAGTTGTGCACTGGAGTGATTGTGGCGTAAAACCAAATTTCAGCAAGCTTTCACCCGATATAAATCTGCTTTAACATACAATGCCTCCCTCCATGCTGCCAAATAAGCCTACTTTGTCACTTTTATTAATACCTTGTCATCCAGTCCTCATCTCTACTCTACTTTCTCCACCCAGTACCTCACTCACTGCTCACGAGATTGCATCAATCTTGTGTTTTGAAATTATTTGCAATTCGTAGAGGCATCTCGGTTACACAGACATCTATCCCACTTAGCATACCTTATACTAAAACTCCCTCAACACTTTCCTCTTTTGACCTTGCTACTACTGAAGAGGTCACTAAGGTTTTCAGAAGCCCATCTCACCACCTGCCCCCTGGATCCTGTCCCCTCACAACTACTATGGTCACCCTCTTCTTCTATCCTTTGCTCCTCACTCACATCTTCAATCTTTCCCTCTCTCTACAGGTGACTTCCCCTCCCCTCTAAAGTATGCGCACATCACTTTTTTTTTTTAAGTCCGCAAACGTGCAACTATAACGAAAAAACCCGTAAGTGTTCACAAAAAATGTGCACTTAGGGGTGTGCTGTGTCCTACCCCTAAAGGGGCTTGGACCGCTTACCCTGATCCCCCGGGGCATGAAGCTCCTGACGGGGACAAGGTTCCCAATTGGTCCTCCTGGCCAAAAGGCCAGGTGGACCACCGTTCCTTGTGTCCAGCCAAAGCCAGACACCCAGTACTTGGTCAGGGGCTCTCCGGAATAAGGGCCCCTAGGGATAGGGGAGGACGGAACCAAAAGGCCGAAGAAGGGCCCCTAGGGATCAGGGGAGGAAGGAACCAAAAGGCCACACATCCTCCCCCTAGACTTCAGGATAGGCCCGAGGACCCACACCCTCCATCCGTGAAACACACACATAAGCAAAGAAAAAAGTGACAAACGTGGGAGTGCATAATAAATTAAATAAATAAAAATAAAAAAGTGGTACCGTGCCAAATTGTGCACAGACCAGGCCCTGAGGCTGCCATACTTTGCCATCACTTTTTTTTTTTGATTGAAAATATACTTTTATTACAGAAGCATAAAAAACAACATGATACTTGTAATCGGGGTACATCTCACCCTGTACTGCGACGCAGCGCACCACATTGCAATACAGTTCCAAGCATACAATAAATACATTCAGAAATAAATACATTCGCGCAGCGGTATGATGCCTGACGTAATGTGCGTAGAGGATGAATCCTCCAGACCAACACGTCATGCATGACGCCGCTTACCCCGAAACCATAGCATCCTAATACACATTACGTTTCCTATTACTACTGCATGCAAAAACGAAAACTCAATATTACGATCAACAATAGGCATCGGGTGTGTAGGAGGGGTGGATGGATGAGGCGCTTTCTGGCGCACCATAAAGCGTCCTTAAAACAACAGAGCACCCGCAAGGCGCTGTCAATGTCCTCCAGAGAAAAAGTCCCACAGAATAGTCCATTCAACACCCCAAAGTGAGTGATGGCTGTCTGTGGTACAAAGTCCTTGAGTTCCGGTTCCAGGGCCCCCAACAGGGCCTGAGCAAATGAGCACTCCCAGAAAACGTGGTGAGACGTTTCCTCATGGATGATGCAGAAGGGGCAGTGTCTGTATCTGCTCAGGTTCCTGGCATGCATAAATGTCCTGAGAGGTACCCCCCCCTTGGATTGCCATCCATGCCAGGTCTTTGTGCCTGTTGGTGAGAATGTTGGAAGAAACATTCCTCCAGACCACCTTGCAGGTGTCTGAAGGCAGGCCTGGAACCGACTCCAAAATGTCGCTGGCTCGGATGAGCTTGTAAATGGTCTTTGGTTTCCACAAGTCAGGCTTGACTCCCTGCAGCCCCTGCTCCCTGATGAACTTGAAGGTATCCAAGTAGTACCAAGGAGTGTCCCAGTTGTAGGGGATGGAACTGTCCCAAGTGTCCCACCCGAGGGACCTCCAGAGAGGCAACAGGAAGAAGAGAGACATTGCGTTCCCGCCCAGAGTCCATAATCCTTTTAGGCAAAGTTCTGCGGATGCAGTTGCAAGCAAAGAACACCCTTAGTTGGGTGGCGATGTCGGGCACGCCCTTACCGCCCTTGAGGGGTTCCTTGAACATGACTGCCCGCTTCACTCTGTCCATCTTGGAGCCCCAGATGAAGTGAAACACCGCCCTGGTGATGGCCTTACAGGTGTTGACCCGGGGGGCCAGGCCTGGGCTAGGTACTGCAACACAGGGAGAATCTCGCTGCGGAGTACCAGTGTCTTCCCTTCGATGGTGAGGTCTCTGAGGCTCCATCAAATTTTTGTCGCATCTTTGCTAGTCTCTCCTCCCAAGACTTCAGGGCTGCGCCCTCAACACCAAACCAAACTCCCAGAATTTTCATGAAGTCTGTCTTGATGCCAAAGGGCATGGATGCAGAAGAAGGCAGGAACCACTTTCCGAAGAGCATGACTTCC